TGTGTGAGACCAATTTGCCATACAGGTCTATTCAGTTTTAAAATGTTCATAATAGTTCTGTGTATGCAAAGTTTATTTTCATCTAGTCTATAGTTTATAGTCTGTAATCTAAGATTCAGCTGTAACTGGTAGGGAGAACAGGCAGTATTTAGGCTAGTGATGAAGTGAGAGTCAATAGTAGCAAGAGGATGGTGCATGGATTTTCTCAGGTTAGATGGACACGCATTCTGTTCACTTTAAAATCAAGAATTACTTCTGGGTAAAGATTGTAAGATTATCTACCATATTGGTTGATTTGTTACTGTCCTGCTGAAGCAGTTCTACCTTAATCAGAAAGGACTAGGCAAAATTGTTAAAATATGAAAACTTGCAATACTTGTGTATTTCTACACAAAAAAGCAAGTTGGGTACCTGGTAACTACTTTTCCAGGAATCTTCCATGGCTGCACAGGAGAGATAGGAAACGCATCATCTACAATTAAAATAAAAGGGGCAGTGCCGCCCCACCACCTCAGTTCATTGTGTTTCCTCCGGCTTAACAGGAACATTATAACCGTTTTTTTTATTTCCATAGGCAGACAAGCTAGTTGCAGGGGCTTCCCAGTGTATGATCTCCTGTGAATCAGGGACAGTGGACCCTCAGCAATCAACACCCAAAAGGAGGATCACCTCCCTAGGGTCGTCCCCCCCACTGTGCCCTGCCCACAGAATGGGGGTAGGAGGAAGGAGACTTCCCTGAAGACTTCCGACCTAACTTGGAGTCGTTAGTGTCTGTAAATGGCACCGTGGAATCGGGCTGCATGGTGTAGTAATGCAGACAAGAGGAAGCCTGGTGGAACACTTCATGTGAATCCCTGATTCACGGGGGAGCATACACCTGGGGGGGCTCTGCAACTAGCACGCAGGCCTATGGAAAAAATAACAAACTGTTACGATGTTCCTGTTAGGCCGGAGGAAACACAATAAATTGAAGTGGTTGGGCGGCACCGCCCCTTATATTTTAATTGTGGATGATGTGCTTCCTGTTTTAGGTGGGTGGATCCCATCTCTGAGGTGCTGCCCTGGAAGATGACTTGGGAAAAATATTTACACAACAACCAATTCCAAATTATGCTTGGATCTGCCACAATGGACCTGTGTTTTTCCTGAGATAAACTAGTTTGTTCTTGTGTCTGAACAGTGGCCAGCCATATGCAATTTGACCAAGAGCAGATAAAGAATACACTTAAGTCGGTGACTAAACTACAGCTGCTGTCAGGGCCTCTACAGTCCTGGCCAAAAGTTTTGAAAATGACAAATATTAATTTTCATAAAGTCTGCTGCTTCAGTTTGTATGATGGCAATTTGCATATACTCCAGAATGTTATGAAGAGTGATCAGATTAATTGCAAAGTCCTTCTTTGCCATGAAAATGAACTTGATCCCCCCCCCCAAAAAAAATTTCACTTGCATTTCAGCCCTGCCACAAAAGGACCAGCTGACCTCATGTCAGTGATTCTCTTGTTAACCCAGGTGTCAGTGTTGACGAGGACAAGGCTGGAGACCACACTGTCATGCTGATTCAGTTAGAATAACAGATGGGAAGCTTTAAAAGTAGGGTGTTGCTTGAAATCATTGTCCTTCCTCTGTTAACCATGGTTTCCGGCAAGGAGACACGTGCAGTCATCATTGCTTTGCACAAAAAGAGATTCACAGGCAATGATTGCACCTAAAATCAACCATTAATCGGATCCCTAAGAACTTCAAGGGGAGAGGTTCAGTTGTTGTGAAGAAGGCTTCAGGGTGCCCAAGAAAGTCCAGCTAGCGCCAGGCCCATCTCCTAAATTTGATTCAGCTGCGGGATCGAGGCACCACAAGTGCAGAGCTTGCTCAGGAATGGCAGCAGGCAGGTGCGAGTGCATCTGCACACACAGTGAGGCAAAGACTTTTGGAGGATGGACTGGTGTCAAGAAGGGCAGCAAAGAAGCCACTTCTCTCCAGGAAAAACATCAGGGACAGACTGATATTCTGCTAAAGGTACAGGATTGGACTGCTGAGGACTGGGGTAAAGTTATTTTCTCTGATGAATCCCCTTTCCGATTGTTTGGGGAATTCGGAAAATACCTTTTCCGAAGAAGTAAAGGTGAGCGCTACCATCAGTCCTGTGTCATGCCAACAGTAAAGCATCCTGAGACCATTCATGTGTGGGGTTGCTTCTCAGCCAAGGGAGCGGGGGGCTCGCTCACAATTTTACCTAAGAACATGGCCATGAATAAAGAATGGTACAAAAACATCCAAGAGAAACTTCTCCCAACCATTCAAGAACAGTTTGGTGAGGAACAATGCATTTTCCAGCATGATGGAGCACCTTGCCATAAGGCAAAAGTGATAACTAAGTGGCTTGGGCAACAAAACATCGAAATTTGGGTCCATGGCCAGGAAACTCCGCAGACCTTAATCCCATTGAGAAATTGTGGTCAATCCTCAAGAGGCGGGTGAACAAAAAATCCCCACAAATTGTGACAAACTCCAAGCATTGATTATGCAAGAATGGGCTGCCATCAGTCAGGATGTGGCCTAGAAGTTGACTGACAGCATGCCAGGGAGAACTGCAAGAGGTCTTGAATAAGAAGGGTCAACACTGCAAATATTGATTCTTTGCATAAATGCAATGTCATTGTAAATAAAAGCCTTTGACACTTTTGCAATGCTTCTAATGATACTTCAGTATACCAGAGTAACATCTGATGAGAAGGTCTTAAAACACTAAAGCTGCAGACGTTGTGAAAATGAATGTGTGTCGTTCTCAAAACTTTTGGCCAGGACTGTAGTATTCAGGGTGCTCTTATTAGGACAGGTCTAAGGGTGAGAAACCATTATCATATAGAATTTGTTGTGTTCCAGTTCACTAGATTAACCTAGTATAGAATTGCAGGTGCTCTGGATCAGCTTCCCTAATGGGTTTTCTTACAGCTGCAAAGTAGTGTACAAAATAAGGGTTGAAAACATAAGAAAGTTGCACAGGTATGTGTTGCTTACCCACATAATCTAGTCCATTGTTTCTTTAAAGCCACACTCCGGGCTGAATGATGATTTGCACACCACACTAAATCTTACCTTGCAGCATGCCGTCACCTGCACTGAAGAAGGAACAATGCACTTTGGTTGCATCACCCACCTCTTTTCACTATACTCCATTCACAGGAGCGGCAGCAACAGGCTATCCCCACACAGAACGCTGAGCTTCCAGGCACTGAAGAGAGGGAGCGATGCGACTCGAATTGTACAGCGCTCTGGTCACACACATCACAATCTGTGATTTGGAGGAAAAGTAATCTCGCATCACCTCTTCCTCTAATTATAGGATATCTTGTATTCTTTACAAAACAAATACAAGATATCCTGTAATTTGAGGAGGAAGGGGTGATATTCTCCTCCAATCACAGAATGTCTTGTATTCTTTAAAAAAATAGACATTTTTGAATGGAGGATAGTGAAAAGGGGGGCTGATGTGACCAGACCGCTGTACAATTCGCATCGCTCCCTCTTCAGTACCTGGAAGCTCAGCGTTCTTTGTGGGGTTATCCTGTTGCAAGGTAACATTTTTGTGCTTTGCAGCTGCACAATGCACATACCACCAAGCTTTTTATTGATAATTTACACACCCAGTATTGTGTTTTAAATTATTATTCTGCCCAGAGTGTGGCTTTAATTATGAGGTGCCACATGACTGTATAGTAGGAGCCCCTAAATGGCAGACTGCAGTCCGGATCTGGACCAAGCAACAGTTTTATCCGGACTGCGATCCAAGACTAGGTTATGGCTGGCTGATAGCCAGCCATAACTCAGCACAGGCCCCTATTCCTCTTCAGTGTCTGCTTTGAACTTCCGTTGTGATTGTTTGTTTGCTGGAGGCTTCACAGCTTATCCCCAAAAAGTTAGTTTAGCCATCAATGCTAGGTCACTGTTTAAATGATGTAGGGATCGCCATAGCTAAACTACTGAGAAAACAAATTAGAGCACATTTGAGGGACACAGGAAGACTTTCACGTTTGGGTATATATGTCCGTCTATAGGACACTGACAAACTGTAGGCAAGCCCAGAATAACCCTTCATATGATCAGCATGCCTCAGAATTGTAGTAAAGCAGTAACAAGAGCATGATCATAAAACAGTCTATTGAGGGACACATAACCTACCCCTCTGTGTTTTATGATCATGCTCTCGTTACTGCTCTAAATGGACTCGATTTTGTTTTCTCAGTAGTTTAGCTATGGCAATCCCTACATCATTAAAACAGTGACCTAGCATTGATGGCTAAACTAACTTTTTAACTGGTTGAATCGGCGTGGGCAGGCAATAGGAGGTAATTTGGGCATCAGATCTTTAAGGTAAGGTTTGTCAGGAGCCATGTATATCTGTTCTACTTAAAGTAACAAAAATCTATGAGTGTATTCATGTAAATGTGATCTTTTGTTTTTAAAACTTGACTGGTTTCCTTTAAAGTGACATTAAAGGCAAATGTATTTTTCGCTCACCCCAACGTTAATGAAAGCACTTACCCGGTCATCTTCTTTCCTGTAGTTTTCAGCCTTCTCTCCAGCGCTGCTGCGGGTCTCCGATCCAGCGCTGACTCCTCTGTCCTTGCTGGCACTTCCTGCCCCACGGTGTCTGCATGCGGGTGCACGCGTCCATAGACTTACCTTGTGTCTCTCCTCGTGTCCCGGCCGAAAACCCGAACTGCGCATGCGCCCGCCCCAAGATGCTTTGCGGCCGCCCGTGCAGTTTCACATTTTCGGGCGGGAGAGCGCGCGGGGAAGACACGGGTAAGTTTAAACCGCTGTTAAAGTGGGTTTTTTTATTTTTAAAACTTTTTGCATAGATCTACTGCTTGCTAGCACTAGATATATGCAAAAAACGCTGAGGGTTTAGAAACCCTTTAATACAGTTTGTCAAGTATTGTGGTATGTAAATGTTCTTGCATAGCAGTAAATCTAACATGCTTTTTTATTTATTTAGGTTGATTTGTAAAGACTGTTGTTCCCATTTGCACCTTGAAAAATGGTGGTCGAAACTGCATACTATGATATATTGGGGGTTAAACCCAATGCCACAGCAGATGAACTGAAAAAAGCCTACAGAAAGCTTGCTCTAAAGTATCACCCAGATAAGAACCCCAATGAAGGCGAAAAGGTAACTATATGTGAAGCAGAAGTCATTCCTATTGCGTTGTACAATTCACATTTAGTAATGGTATTCAATTTCTTAATACAGTAGTGTCCCAGAATAGTGCATGTCTTAAGCAATATGGGTGGAAAAGGACAAACCCTTGTTAATTGTTGACTACAAACAATGAAACAAAGAGCTTTGTCTTCAGCCTGCACTAGTTTCAAAGTATATGTAAATCCAACAATATACTTATTTATTTACTTTGGTCTGTTATATATACTATTAACCCTTTAGCTACTACTGATGTAAGGCTTACATTAGCGGAAGCACAGGCTATTAAAAAAGGAGCAGCTGGCACTGTCTTCAGGCCACACAAGGCGAATGTCGACTTTTGTGTTGAAAGTGATTGAGTCCTCCCTACGTCCACCTGATCACGTCCACTGGCTTTAGAACCTGTGCCCACATGCCATTAGCTCCCTATATGATAGTATTAACTTTAACCCCCCAAAAAGTTTTACAAATTAAAATAACACAAAAGAAAACCTGGACAATATCGGGTGTGCCCACATGCGAAAACTACAGTTGCATATAGCTCTTGTTCCTGCATGTGGGCGATAATTCCAAGGCCATTAGTCATGGTTAACTATAAACTGATGGCCTGTAATGCATTGGCAATTCTGGGCACCGAAGTTTGTCACTGTTTCACAAGTGCGCACAGTTTTGGGGCTTATGTTTGGCATCTGTTTACTCCTCCTCTTTTTACCCCAAAAATTGCACTACAACCAATTTAAATGTGTTATTTAAATTTCAAATTATTGCAAATATTGTGTGACATAAATTGCACCTGCCACCGTTTTATTCTTTAGGGTCCCCGCTTTCAGAAAAAAAAAAAAACAAGGGGGTTTAACTAATCTTAAGGACTAAAATGGGTGTTATAACAAATTTATAATCATTTTTTGGCAAGCGTTTTAAATGTTCAATATGTGCAAAAAATCTGTTCTACCAGAAATCCAGTGCTGCTCTTTGTGTGTTATCGCAAACAATGTTTTTTTATCAGGAAGTGTGCTAGGACTGCAGAACTGCACCCATGTTTTAAAGGAGGGGGACGTGTTCTATAGATTTACTACACCTTCTGTCCTAGGGGGGCAACCCTGCTCCCTTATTCCTGTACACTACCAATGCGTACAGGAAGTGTGCATTGTCACTCTAGGACGTGACAGAGTTAAAACAAAAGAAAAATTGCCAGAATGCGGTCACTATGTAAGGACTGGTAAACTGCAATATGTAACATATTTGTTTAGTTTAAGTACATCGTCAAGCCTGTCTCTAAATAGGATTTCTGTGTTTTATTGTGAGAATGCTGCAGAGCCCTTTAACATTTGCACTAACAGTTGGAATGTTCAATCATGTAATCTAGCTATAATTTTTGTATTTCTTTTTAACAGTTCAAACAGATTTCTCAAGCATATGAAGTTCTTTCTGATTCTAAGAAAAGGGACTTGTATGACAAAGGTGGAGAACAGGCCATCAAAGAAGGCGGCATGGGAGGGGGTGGATTTGGTTCACCTATGGACATTTTTGATATGTTCTTTGGTGGAGGGGGAAGAATGCAAAGAGAGAGAAGAGGTAATTGGTGTGAATGTAGCAAAATAATGATCAAGCCAAGGCTCCGAATTTGTATGCTAAAGTTGTATTAATTTGTTTGCAGGTAAAAATGTAGTCCATCAGTTATCTGTATCGCTGGAGGATCTATATAATGGGGCAACAAGAAAATTGGCTCTGCAAAAGAATACTATATGTGACAAATGTGAAGGTATGTGGTTATAAAAAAATATATAAAATGCAATAACCTTGCCACCGCAAATGATGATTTCATAGACTCAAGTACAATCACTGCGCTTATCAAAGTGAAAAAATTAAACCGATGAAATTAATCACTTTACACATTATTTCAATTTAAATCAATATTGCATAATCCCATGTACATAATTAACATATATTTGGATACATGTTAATTATGTATGTGGGTTTGTGGAATGTTGATGTATATTGACATACAAGAATTTGTAAACTGTTATTTTTCTATTTTTTAGTTTTTTTTCACTTTAAGTGCAGTGATTGTACTTGAGAATGTTTTAGTAGTGGTTTTATCTATTTACACTGTAGCTGTCACTTATTTATTTTTAGATTGAGGACATTATCGCCATAGCGCGGGTCACTATATAATTTCTGATTTTTTATAGACCATGAAATTGTACTATTGTAGTAGTACCTGGAAGGCACACAGTCTAGTCACGGTTTTACAATGAGCACTTTATTCAGTTTATGTACAATATGTGGTATTAGGGCTTATTCTTTAATGGAGAGAAATGGTAGTCCATGGTGCTGGCAGTATTCACCTGCAAAAGTTATATCCATAAATGTGTGTTTAGATACCTGAAATGTAAGTGGCTTGTTGGAGCAGGTGGACAGCTTGGTCTTAAGGTAAAAATGGGAACATTGGCCAAAACAATTTAACATTGTATGGCTGATCACCATTTCACATAAGACTTGTTGCCTGGGCTTGTCTGTGGTGCCTATAGTCATGGAGACCATCACTTTATCTGGCTGAAGTCAGCAGGCGGGAGTGAGAATTTCCAGAAACCTTGTTGGGCTGTTGCTGTGAACTTACAATGACAGATGTAAAGATGTCCACAATTTGAGCTGTATTTCAATGATTCTTCAGCATTTTAGATTATCCCCCAGCATTTCTGGTCCCCACCTCTTGATCCGACTCTTTTGAACAAAGCAAAATTGCAATTACTAGATATAGCGAAGGGGCCTCCCCCAACTTATGGCAGGTTTCATTGCTGTGCCAGATCCAATAAAGAAAGGATACATTGGAAGGCTCAAGTCAATCTCCAACTGAATTTGCATAATGGATTAAAAAATATGACTTTTGTGGAGGCATCCAGAAGATAAACCATTTTCTTGCCACACTGATTCCTATACCATAATGTCCAGGATAGACCTTGTTTTCCCAAGGTCTATCTAGCTGTCTACCAGACTACAAAGTCTGGTAGACAGCTTTCTTACCTGGCTAGGACAGAATATACCACATCCCTCAAAGTCCATACCACCAAGGATATAAGCCACACAGGCCACGTTCAAGTGTCATCAGACAAAATTCTGGATGCTTTACCTTTTTTAATCTTGAGTTTACTCCTCCACTGTCCCTTATTCCACTTAGTTTGAGATAACTAATCAGTCTCAGCCCACTTCCCTATACTCTGGGGGTCTGACCATTAACTTTAAAAACTTCAAAATTAAACCCTCCATCCATCCACCCATATCACTATATGCAGATTATACTCTGGTATATCTGGCTGAACTGAATCAAACCAATCTCTCCATTGCCTTTTGAAATGGTAGAGGCATTTGGTATGTAATCAAGCAGCAATGTAAATTGGGGGGGAAAGAGCGCTTTGGACTTTCTACTCCGTACACCTAACCTCACAACTCTCCAAGTTGTGGATGCCTTTATATATTTAAAATGATAGTGGCTTTAGATATTTGGTAGTAACAGTACAATTTGTTTTCCCTACAATCCTATGTTGCCAATATTCTCCACCCTATAGTTTCAACCCTCCAACAGAAGACTATGCAGTGGATGGGGCTGCCCCTAGATTTGATGGGCAAAGTCAATCTATTGGAAATCTTCATACACGTGTTCAAGAAAATTCACCCTCTTATCTGCATCGCTTACCTTGGCAGGGAAAGTGCCCCAAGGATTGCATTGAAAACTGACTTGCTATGGAGATGACCGCTTTGGCATTCCCTATTTTCCTAGCTATTATCTAGCAGCACAATGTATGAATATCCTTTTAATGGGTAATCCCAACGATGGCATTTGCACCACTACTGAAGTGGCCATTATCGCCTCTTATGAATCCCTACATAATGTATATAGGCGATCTATTCTTTCTTTCAATTCAAGATGCATTACTCCTGCACCTCTTGGGTGAATTTCCCCTATAGCCCACTGTGTTTGCACCCTTCCCTATGTGACTTTCTTTCCATCCCAGATGCACAACATTGGTCTTCCTTTTGATATGAGTTGTCAATCAACTGCACTCCTCAGATGAGATTAGGTCATTTAGGCAACTCCAGGAGGAATTTTGTATTTGACTGAGCATAGAGCCCAAGATTGGTCACAGTTTAGGGATGCATACAAGAGCTCATTAATTCAATTAAAACAACTAGGTTGGATCTCCATTTCTCTTTCTGCTTTCATGGATGTGGTGAGGAAGTTGACTTTTTCCACCATCTACAGACTTGCTGCTGTGTTCAAGAATTCTAGTCAGTAGTCAATGACTTCATTTCAACTGCACTTGGACTTCTCAAAAACCTGCCTTTTGGCTATTCTAGGAGACATGCAACCTGCCAAAATCTTTTTGTGAACCCTCTTATTTTGATGAAAAATGTGATCTTATTAGCATGGAAGGGCCTGTCTTTTCTAAGCACATTGAAAAGCCTAACTAATTCCAATCTACTTTCATATAATCCCACCAACAAGTTAAGAGCTGATCCACAAATCTTCAACAAAATATGGGAATCTTGGGTTAGTTTGACCTATAACACACATTCTCATCTGGACCTAGGTATGCCATACCTCCTGATGATTTGTAAACTGTTATACTGTTTTTCAATGTCCTTACCCTCTTCAAAAAGAGTATCTTTAAGTCTTCAATGAAATGTCTATCTTGCCATTTTTATATTTTATGTATTTTTTTTTTCATTCAAAGCTTTCAATGTTTCATTTATTTAGGGCGTGGTGGCAGAAAGGGAGCTGTGGAGTGCTGTCCAAACTGCAGAGGTAGTGGTATGCAGATCAGGATCCATCAGATAGGACCAGGAATGGTTCAGCAGATCCAGTCTGTGTGCGCAGAGTGCCAAGGACAAGGAGAAAGGATTAACCCAAAAGACCGGTGCAAGAGTTGCACTGGACGAAAGATTATCAGAGAGAAAAAGATTCTTGAAGTTCACATTGACAAAGGTTTGCGGATTTGATATTTGCTCTCGTACAGTAACTAGTTAAAGGAGCAAAAATGAAACTACGTGTGGGAACGAGTTTTCATGTTTTGGGTAATCGAGGGAGAGGCACAATGGCACTTTACTAATAGGTCATATACCATTTTTGTAAGTTTTCCTGTGTCTCAAATGTATTACTCTTACAAACTGTTCTAAAGAATATATTTTAGGCTCTGATGTAATATTTCGCAAACTGATTGGTTGCCATGCACAGCTGCTCCCCAGATTTGATAAATTCTACCCAATCAGCTTCTCTCTTTAGTTTGTTCAGTTAAGATTTGAAAAGAGGCGCTGAATGGTTGAATGCACAGCTGCTCCAGATTTTGTCTGCTCTGGTTTTGATTCCCCTCGTGTATTGTGAATATGACATTAGTTGTGACACTTGTGATGGCAAAAAACATTTGCCATGTGTGTAAATTCCAGTTTTGATCAAATATGTTTAGTTTTAAGCTGAGAACATCTTGTTAGTGATTTCTGAATCGTGTTTCTATTTTTACTACAGGTATGAAGGATGGTCAGAAAATCACATTTTCTGGTGAAGGAGACCAAGAACCTGGTTTGGAGCCTGGAGATATTATTATTGTACTTGACCAGAAAGATAATGTAGTATTTACAAGGTATAGAACTTTCTGTTATCTGTATCTGATTTTTGTTTAAGGCCTGTATTTTTATTTTCTGCTGAAAGCTGAACTTCAGTTTTGAAAACCGTGCAACCGCTGCGTTCTGTCCTTATGGTTCAGGCGTTCCCTATTATAAACCTATAAAGTGTGTTTTTGTTTTTATTTTCCCCATCTACGTACCTGATTTTTAGTTGTAACGTAGTGACCACTTGATCTGTACTGGCCTTTCACTACACAAGATCAGGCCTGGAGGAGAGACCATCATACTCTCCTTGTAACCACTATGTAATTTCCTTTGGTTTGTCTTTATTCCTAAACAGTCAGTGATGCTCTAATGGGCATGTGCAAATTAGAGAAAAAGGCAGACATTAGGGAGGAGAGTGAGTATGAATTGGGGCAGCAGAGGAAAGGGCTGGGTGATGAGTATCCTGCAGCAGGAAGCATGTGGCTGCCTATTCGGGCTGAAAAGATCCAACTTTTATACAAAGATTACCTATTATTTTCCAGGTATAAAGGGGGGGAAAAAAAGAAAGTTCTTTATAACATCGTAATTGTTTTATTTTTTTCCTATCACTTTTCAGCTTAATGACTTTAATTCTGCTTTATATTGTAGGCGAGGAGAAGATCTGTTTATGCACATGGAAATAGAGCTTGTAGAGGCTTTGTGTGGATTTCAGAAACCCATTGTAACGTTGGACAACAGGACCATTATTATTACTTCTCATCCTGGTAAGCATGACTACTATGAATACAAGTTTAAAAGGGGACTAACCGATACACAGCTTTTTAGATGACATCACATTCAATTGATGTGATTTGTTTATACATTAAAGTGTGTATTTGTTTTGCAGGCCAAATAGTCAAACATGGGGATGTTAAATGTGTGCTAAACGAAGGTATGCCTTTCTACCGCCGGCCATATGAAAAGGGTCGCCTTATAGTTGAATTTCAGGTAAGTGTATGAAGCATTTTACTTTGCATTAATTGGTCATTTGTTCACATCCCAAGGGTAGACAGCTGACTTGGCCAACTTCTTGGTTTGCAAGGTCTATCTTTGAAGCGTTTCCTCAAATGTGTCGTCAAGTATGTGATTTGCATGCCATTAAAACAGGGAGGTCTCCATTTTGATCTACTATTGCAGGGGTAGCCAAACTCTGGCCCTCCAGCTGTGGTGGAACTACAAATCCCATGAGGCATTGAAAGATTCTCCCAGCCACAGACATGACTCCCCGGAGAGAGATGCATCATGGGATTTGTAGTTTCACCACAGCTGGAGGGCCGGAGTTTGTTTGTCAGATTGTTCAGGTATTTTAGGAGCCAGCGGGGGCGACTAGCAAGATATTGAAGCTCGGGCCAGTGGGAGATTCCTCCCACTGGGCCGAGTTTAGCGTAGATGGAGGAATCTCTTGTACTTTTTTCCATCTGACCATAGAAAATCTATAGGTGTATGGCCAGCTTTAGTGGTGTGGCTGGTTTGGCACTGCATAGCT